CACACACACACACACACACACACACACACACACACACACACATACACACGCCCAGCATGAGTTTAAGCTACTGGCTGGGACTCGAAATGCGGTTGACTACATGAGAGTCCAGTGATGGAGCTGTTACGCCATCTCCTGGTCCCCGTTGTATTTTTTTTAAAAATAAGTATTTTATTCAACTTTATTTATCATTGTTATTTTTAAAGTTGACCAGGGAGAGCAGAAAAGTGAGAAAGCAAGCCACCAGGTCCAGAATTTGAACCACAGTTGGCCATGTGGGAGTCCAGCACCTTTAACCATCATACTACCTGCCAGCCCTTAATCTTTGTATTTGTTTGACAAAAGTTTATTTTGTTTTTAGAGAATGAAATAACCTTTGTTTAAAAAGAGCCTCTCGGTCATGGACACAATTTGTGTATTCATTTGGGACATGTTCTTTAATGAACAAATATATGTTGAATATCTATTGTGCACACTCTGTTACACATGTTAGGCAGTAGGTAGGAAATAAGAGTAAAATAACCGTGAACTCTGTCCTTATGAGGCTTACAGTATAGTAGCATAGGATGGCAAAAAGATAGACAGTATAACAGGCAAAGAAAATGCATATGTGCTTATAGATTGAGGAAAGTGCTATGAAGGGGGGCCGGCAGGTAGTGTGGTTAAGGTGCTAGACTCCCACATGGCTGACCACAGTTAGAGTCCTGGACCTGGCAGGTTGCTTTCTCACTTAACCTTTTCTCTCTCCTCGTCTCTCTCTGGTCATATTAAAAAGAATAATAAGTAAAACAAAACAAACATTTCTTTAGTTTAAAAGATTGCTATGAGCTAGTGACTGAGTGTTTCACAGGTCAATGATGTCAGGTAAGAGCTGAGCAGGTAACATTAAGTTAAGGTTTGGCATCTATTAGAGAAAATCTTATGTTTAATTCATTTTGATATGCACGTATGTGTGTGTATGTCAAACACATACGTGCATATCAAAATACATTAGAGCTAATGCCTAATTATATACACATATATTTTAAGTCTGTATTTTTTAGTTATAATTTAAATCTTTTTATTCTTTGCTAGCAGTTTTGGGTTTCATTTTATCTTGTTCTTTTATTTTTAGGTACCTTATTGTTTTTGAAATTAAAATATTTAATATATTTATTTAGTTTCTTCTTACGTTTGATGGAATGCATATCATCCTAGGTTAGCAGTGTTCTAGCAGCATCTTTTTAGGTATCTAACCAGTAATACTTCATTAATTCCCCTAACTCCTCTTTTAATATTTGGATTACTTCTGGGAGGTAGTCTCTTAGATTTATTTTTTTTTATTGTTCATTCTTTACAGTTTTTTAATTCATCACAGATACGTTACGATATTTACAGATTTTCCTGTTCTAGTATTCTTTATAGGTTTTTGCCATAGGGTACATGCCCTCACCAGAGAGAGAAAGAGAGAGAGAGAGAAAGAGAGAAAGTGAGAATTCATCCCCCAGGGAGATGATCTGTCTGTAATCGCTTCTTCTCCATTCTCTTCTCAGGATTTTGTGCACGCACGTATATGTACCTGGCGTGATTTTCAAGCCACCACATCTGGGACTCACATCTTAACCTCCACACCACCTGCTGGAGCCCATTCTAACATTCTTTAGACTATAACTGTCATGAAAAATGGGACAGTGTCTTTTGAATTAATTTTTGATTTCCTGGAAATTAGTGAATCTATTTCTAAAAAATAAGCATTATAATTTCTAATGATATACCTTGTTTAAGCTCATATTCTAATCCTTGAAGCTCCTAATTTCTCTCTTCCTTAACTTTTATAAGAACTTTATATATTATACTATTCTTTCCTCATTCTGCTCCTTCTCTGTAGTCATAAAAGTTTAAGGCAAGCATTGTTGAGTTAGTTATAAACCTGGTGTCAAGAACACAGTATTTGGGACCAGCAGATGGTGTAATGTTTATGTTGCTGGACCATGTAGTTGACCACAGTATGAGTCTCGGACCCAGTGGCTTAATACTCATGCCAGGCACCTGTGTACACATGCCCAAAATCCTGAGAGGAGAATGCAGAAAGGATTGCAGTTTGGTCATGCCCCCTGGGGTGGTGATTTTTCACTTTCTGTCTTTCTGTCTCTCTCTGTCTCTCGGTGAGCCCATGCACCCTATAGCAAAAATCTCTCTCAAAAAAATAAAAAATAAAAAAGAACACGTGTTTTACGTAGTAGGCAGTCCTTTCCTGTGTATCATGTATGAATTAAGTAAGAACAAACAAATATGTTAGAAATACTAAAAGCAACGATATGTAACACATCGATTTTTGTTCTCTCTTAAAGATACAATAAAAGGGAAGAAGATTTTCCTAGTCTAAGAGAATATAATGATTTCCTGGAAGAAGTGGAAGAAATTGGTATGTTTTTAATTGGGTGTGTTAGTCTATGAGAGCTCATTCTTTTATCTTTATATGAGATCTCATCTTACATAAGAAATCTCTAACAGATTTTGTAGTGATAGCTGATATTTACCTAATTACTTTACTTTTCACTTGAATAATGTTTGTCAAGTTGAAGGTATTTAAGAAACATTTTGTCTTAGGAAAATATGCTTAATAGAGGAAGTAACACATTACAGCTGGGAAAATAGTCTATTCGTACATATCATCTATGTTGTATATATTATCTGTATTTTGATACTCTATTAGGGTAGTTTAAACAAAAGGAAAGAATATGCTGGTTTTTTTTTCATTTTTTAAAAATTTTCTAAAAGGCCTGTACTTATGGGAGACAGAAAGAGAGAGGGAAAGTGAGAAATTGCTCTCCAGGGAAGATGGCTGCACTAGAATCCCCTCTCTTCTATTCTCTTCTTGGGATTTTGGGCATGTATACAAACGCAGTCAGCATGATTCTCAAGCTACTGTGTTCAGGACTTGAACAGTGTAGTTGGCCATGAGGGAGCCAGCAACTTAACTTCCATGCCACCTGTCGGCCCCCCAGCATACATTGTCTAATCACATTGTCTTTAAAATGCAGCATATTTTAAAGACTATGTGATTAGTCAAAAGTTTAGTCAGGTAATAAAAGGTCCTTTACCAGGTAAGGAAGCTGGCTCAGAACATTACATTTGAAAATGATTCTGATATTATGTATGTGTATATATATATATATATATAACCAGAAGAAACTGATGGACAAAGAAAAGAAGGTGGGGAACAATGGTTTTAAGGGATAAACTATTGTACAAGGGTATTTTGGTTCTGGGATAAGGTTCTGACTGAGTCATAATTTTTATTTTATTTTTTTAAAGGCTTATTTATTTAATCTTTTTATGTATTACTATAATATTTTAAAATTTTGCCATAGGGCACATGGATTCATCAAAGAGATAGAGACAAAGTGGGAAAGCAAGCCACCAGTTCTGGGACTCAAACCATGGTCAGCCATGTGGGAGTCTTGATGCTTTAATCACTATGCCACCTGCTGACCCCTGAACCACGATTTTAAAAATACATTTTTTTGATCAGCAGATAGTATAATGGTTACATTGCTGGATTCCCACATGGCCAACTGCGGTTTAAGTTCCGGTCCTGGTGGCTTAAAACTCACACCGAGGGTGTGTGTGTGCATGCCTAAAATCCCGAGAGGAGAATGGAGGAGAAGGGATTGCAGTGTGGCCAGCCTACTTAGGGGATGATTTCTCACTTTCTGTTTTTCTGTCTCAATCTCTCTCTAGATAGCACATGCACCCTATAGCAATCTCTCTCTCAAACAAAACAAAAACTCTCTTAAAAAATAGGGACTGGTAGGTGGCGTGGTGCTTAAGAGCGCTGGATTCCCACATGGCTGACTGTGGTTCAAGTCCCGAACCTAGTGGCTTGTTTTCTCACTTTCTCTCTCTCTCACATGTGCACTCTGTCCTTCTCTGATCAAATCAAAATAAGTAAATAAATAAAGTTAAATAAAATAATTCTTTAAAAAGATGTAAGATATTTATTATAATGTTATATATATGAGATATATTATATATGATATAAAATATATAAGCTATACATTATACATAGCTTATACATTTATTTTTTGTTATGAGATGAATTAGTTTGGAACTATGGACAATGTGGAGCTTATAGATAAAACCAGGTTTGGGACCAGCAGTTGGTGTAATGACTATGCTGCTGGACTCCCATGTAGCCAACTGCGGTTCGAGTCCCGGACCTGGTGGCTTAAACTCATACCGTGTGTGTGCGCCCCCAAGATCCCGAGAGAAGAATGGAGGAGAAGGGATTGTGGCATGACCATCCCCCCTAGTGGGTAGTTTCTCACTTTTTGTCTCTCTTTTTCTCTTTGTCTTTCTGGAGAGCACATGTGCCCTGTATCAGAAACCTCTTGGGAACCAGCAGTTAGCGTAATGGCTATGTTACTGGACTCCCACGTAGTCGACCGCGGTTCGTGTCCTGGACCCGGTGGCTTAAAACTCATGCCGGGCGCGTGTGCGTGCATGCCCAAGATCCCGAGAGGAGAATGGAGGAGAAGGGATTGCGGCGTGACCATCCCCCCTGGGGGGTGATTTCTCGCTTTCTGTCTCTATGTCTCTCTCTGTCTGTCTGGCGAGCGCACGCGCCCTACAGTGAAAATCTCTCAAAAAAAAAAAAAAAAAAAAAAAAACGAAAAACCCCCCCAAAAAAAAAAAAAGAAAAAAAAAAAAAGGAAGAGAAAAGAACTAGGTTCATACCCAGATTAGGAACTAGGATTGACACGTAAGAGGATGTCTGGATATTAGGGCTATATAGTATGTAATATTTCCTTTACCAGGTAAGGAGACTGACTCAGAGCATTTAATTAGAAAGTGATTCTGCTGTTGTCTACATACATGAAGGACTATCTTCGGTTGCAATATGTGGGAAACTGTCTAAACCAATCTCTTAATTGTCTCATTGAAGTAACTGACATCCCCCAGTCCTTCCATAAAATGTACTGACTTATACTCAAAGCATAAAGAATGCATGGCGAATGCTAACCGTTAGAAACTGCCCTTTAGTATACCACTCTACTTTTCTCACCTTTTTAATTATATAAGAGTTATTTGTATTGATAACCAAACCTTCTTATACCAGTTATACATGTTATTGTAGTCGTAGTAACTTTTTTAAAAAGTTAATCTATTTCTTCCATGAGTAAGAGAGAGAAAGATAGAGATAGAAAGAGGAAGGCAGAACCTCCAATGTGGTCTCGACACCATGATTTATCAAGTGCATGCCTGACATACTCAAGAGTATCTCTGGACGGAACTGTCAACCTTCCCATGTTGTAGTGCCTTGCAGAGTGTCTCCTTACCCGTAGAGTGTTTTACCGCTGCACAAGTGTCTGGCCTTTGTGTTTATGTAGTTTAATTAAACAGTATGTAAGATTGGGGGAAAAATTGCAACTGATTCTCAAGTTTTGGGCTTTTTTTTTTTTTTTTTTTTTCGGTAAAATTTCTTTCTTCGTGAGCAAGAAGGTAAAAACAAAGATAGAAAGAAAAACAGCACCTCCAATCGGGCCCTGTTGCCACCATCCACCCTCAGCCTCTTAGCCATAGATCATGGGTGTGTGTCTGATGTTCTCAGGGAGATTTCTAGACTGAACCTGAAACACTTTCATGTGGGTCAACCTTGCAGGACTTTGCATTTTACCACGGTGCCACTGTCTGGCACCTTTGATTTACTTTTATAAAAATGCCAGTGGAACAATGCAGATTAATTACAGTTGTGGCTTATATAGGAAAGAAGCAGAGCTCCATTTGAAATCTAGACCTTTGGGCCAGCTTCAAAGCCTAGTGGATAAGTGAGCCAAAAGATTTATGAGAAAAAGTTCATCACCAGTCATCAGGGAAATGGAAGTTAAAATCATCCTAACACCACATCTGTCAAAATGGCAATTATCAGAAAGATGAAAGATAAATGTTAGTGAGGATGTGGAGTAAAGGAAATCCTTCTATACTGTTGGTGGGATTGTAAATCAGTAAAGCCGTTATGGAGAACAGTATGAAGGTTTTCAAAAAAACAAAAAACAGAATTACCATGTGGCCCAGCAATCTCACTTCTGGGTATACAGAGAATCCCTGACTTATGGTTCAACTGAAGATTTTATATATATATATAT